TTTTGTAGAGGCTTCATTTTACCTTGGCACCATGATTAAATCATTGGCAGTTGGTTGTTGAATTCTATCTGCAGCCTCTCTGGCCTCCCAAGAGGAGGGGGTGGGACTGAAGTTTCCAACCCTCCAATTCCCCTGGCAACCAGCTTTATCCTTTGGTGAGAAAGAGCTTTCTGAAAGCAGCCTCATTAACATGACAAAAGATGCCTCGATCACTGTGACCACTTAGGAAATTCTAAGGGTTTTGGGAGCTCTGTGCCAGGAATGGGGACAAAGACCAAGTATATATTTACTATAGATCACAATATTGCAGGGCAAACCAAGGTTATTGGTCACTAGTCACGCTAGCTCAGTGACTGCCCATTGGAATTACTCGGTGAGTTTTAAAAATTACCGATGCCTGAGATGGTGACAGACTCGGTCTCTGGTACAGCCAGTGCATTAGGACATTAAAAGTTCCTCAGGTGATTTTATTGCAGCTGGGGTTGAAGAACTCCTGCAGCACCTGAATAGCATTTCTCCTACCAAAAAAATTTTTAAACCAAAACAAAAATCAATGGTTCTGATGAAGTTAGACTCCTACCACATACCGTATACAAAAATGGCCTCAAAATGGATCAACAATCTAAACATAAGAGCTGAAACTACAAAAATCTTGGAAGAAAACAGGGGTAAGTCTTCATGACTTTGGATCTGGCAGTGGATCCTCAGATCATTAAAAGCATGAGCGACAACAGCCATGAAAATAGATAAATTAGACTTCATCAAAATTGAAAACGATTGTGCATCAAAAGACATTGTCAAGAACTTGAAGACAACCTACAGAGTGGCAAAAAATATTTGTAAATCGCATATTTGATGAGGGCCTAGGATCCAGAATATATTAAGAAATCTAGGGGCACCTGGGTGGCTCAGTGGGTTAAGCGTCCAACTTTGGCTCAGGTCATGATCTCACGGTTCATGGGTTCGAGTCCCACGTCGGGCAGCTCAGAGCCTGGAGCCTGCTTTGGATTCTGTGTCTCCCTCTCTCTCTGTGCCTCCCCCACACACTCTGTCTCTCTCTCTCAAAAAAAACAAAACAAAACAAAAAAAAAAACAAGAAATCTACAACTCAAAAACAAGCAGCCCATTTAACAAACAGGCAAAGATTTGAATAGACATTTTTCTGGAAAAGATATTGAAATCACCAACAAGGGCACAAAACGATGCCATTAGTCACTAGGGAAGTGCTAATCAAACCCACATGGACATGCCACTTCACATGCACTAGGATGGAAATGATGATGATGATGATGATGATGATGATAATCAATCGGTTGTTATTGGAAAATAACAACTGGTGATGTGGAGAAATTGGAACCCATGCACATCACTGGTAGAAATGTAAATTGGTGCAGCCACTTGGGGATTCCTCAAAAAGTTAAACATTGAATTACCACATGACTCAGCAATTCCACTCTTACGGATAGACCCAAAGGAATTGGGAGCACACCAGTGCTGACAGCAGTGCTGTTCTTAATAGTTAGGAGGTGAATATAACCCAAGTATCTATCAACAATGAAATGAATGGATAAACAAATGTGGTATATCCATATCTAGGCCTACCTTGGAGATATTGTGGGTCAGGTTCCAGAACGCTCAATAAAGTGAATATTACAATAAAGTGAGTCAAATGAATTTTTGGTTTCCCAGTGCATATAAAAATTATGCTTACACTATACTATAGTCTGTTAAATGTGCAATAGCATTATGTCTAACAAAATATACACGTTAATTAAAAAGATACTTTATTGCTAAGAAACCGTCATCTGTGTTTTCAGCAAGTCATAATCACTGATCACAAATCATCAGAAGAAATATAATAATAATGAAAACGTTCGGAATATCACAAGAGTCACCCAATGGGACACAGAGACACGAAGTGAACAAATACTACTGGGAAAATGGCACCACTAGACTTCCTTGACACAGGGTTGTCACAAATCTTCAATTTATAGAAAACACAGTATCTGTGAACTGCAGTAAAGCAAAGTGTAATAAAATGAGGTATGCCTGTCATGGAATATTATCCAGACATAAGAAAGAATGACATACCAATAAATGCTATTACATGGTTGAACCTCAGAAACATTATACCAAGAAAAAGGCTAGACACAAAAGGTTACAATATCGTATGATTCTATATAAAATACCCAGAATAGGTAAATCCATAGGGACAGAAGGCATAAAAATGATTGCCAGGGACTGCAGTGAGGGCAGCATGGGAAGTGACTTCGTCGTGGGTATGGGGTTTTCTTTTTGGGGTGATGAGAAAGTTTTAGGACCAGATAGAGGTGGTAGTTGTGCAACATTGTTAAAATAGTTGTGTGGTACATGGATTTCACCTCTTTTAGAAAAAATCAACAGTTCACTCTTAGGTACAAAATAGAATTGAAACTGATCGCTTTAGCAGTCAAAAACCCCACACAGCCGGCCTTTAACTACTTTCTGTTGCCTTCTTTTTTACATTCTCCTATTGTAATTGTTGTTACCGCTGCTACCAGGACACTAGCTACATGGAACCCCACTGGAATCCCAATGCGTCAAATATGCTTCTGCCTCTCCTTTATTTTTATTCTTGTATTTTTTGCTGTTAATTTTGGGCTTTGTTAACCAACTTGATTAAGTATTTTTTGCCAGATTCATTATTGTTATATTTGTTTTTTTTTTAAGTTTATTTATTTATTTTGAGAAAGAGAGAGAGTGGGGAAGGGGCAGAGAGAGAGGGAGAGAGAATCCCAAGCAGGCTCTGCACTGTCAGCACAGAACCTGATGTGGGGCTCAATCTCATGAACCGTGAGATCATGAACTGAGCCGAAATCAAGAGTTGGACACTTACCCGACTGAGCCGTTGACTCATATATATATATATATATATATATATATATATATATAATTTTTATTAATTCATTTTATTATTTATTATATTTATTATATTAATTTATTAAATTAATAAATTTATTAAATTTTATTAATTTATTATTTATTTAATTTATTAATATATTAATACATATAATTTTTACTTGCTTATTTTTTAAAATATAACTTATTGGTTAGCTAACGTACAGTGTATACAGTGTGCTCTTGACGGGTAGATTCCACATGATTCATCACTTATACAACACCCAGTGCTCTTTAACCCAAGTGCCCTCCTCAGTGCCCATCACCCATTTTCCCCATTCCCTCTCCCCCCCCATATTGTTTTTTAATTGGAATATAATTAACATACAATGTAATATTAGTTTCAGGTATGCAACACAGTCACTTGACAATTTATTGATTGTATTATTTATTGATATTATTGATTGTATTCCGTGTGCTGAATGCCTCTTCTGTAAAGTTCACCGACATGCAGGGTCTCTACCAGCTGTTCCAGCCCACAGTCCTCTCTTGATTCTTGTGGCTCTTAACTTTTTCCTCAAATGTGGTCCTCATACCGGCAACAATGGCGCCCCCCTAAGGAGATTATAAGAAAGGCAGCATCTGAAACCTTCACTGAGTGAATCTGCATTTTAACAAGATCCTCTCATGACTCAAGTGCACATTAAAGTTTGAGAAGCACTGGTTTATACTAGTTCACACTGGTTTATACTGTTTATACTAGTGCACCTCAAATCAGGCTGTAGATCAGAATCACTTTGTGGGCTGTATTTATTTATAATATATATATATTTTTTTAATGTTTATTTTTGAGAGAGAGAGAGAGAGAGAAAACATGAATGGGGGGAGGAGCAGAGAGAGAGGGGGGCAGAGGATCCAAAACAGGCTCCATGCTGACAGCAGTGAGCCTGATGTGGGGCTCAAGCTCATGAACCATGAGGTCATGACCTGAGCTGAAGTCAGATGCCCAACTGACTGAGCCACCCAGATGCTCCTATAATGTATATTTTAAATAATATATACCCATGGTAAAATTACAAATACTGTAGATATAGAAAAAAAGTATGAATAAGCAAGTCTTCTTCCTACCCCGGTTTTTCAGATTTCTACCCCCAAAGACAATTTTTGTTAAAGTTTCTTGGGTTTTCTTCCCTGTTCTCTTTACATACGCAAGCATATGTGTGCATGTATATATTTCCCTTTCTGTTCTTTTTACACAAACAGTAGCATACTGATTTCCAGCTTTCACTCAATAGCATGTTTTGGAGATCATTTTAGCATATGTAGGTCTGCCCAATATTCCTTTTTTCCTTCCAAAAAAGGATGTTTATTAACATATATCATCTATATAGATTTTTCTTTTTTTGAGTTTTTTTTAGTGTTTTTGCCCAATATCCTTTTTAATGACTGCGTAGTAATTATCCTGTAGCTGTATACTTGTAATATCTATGTGTAACTTGCTTGTATTAAATAGCAAGTTACAACTATTAAAGGACACTGCATTACAAAGATCATTCGTTACAAAGAGGTAGTGCCTATCCTGTATGTATGCGTTTGAGCATCTGAGCTACCAGTGTTATCTGTAGGATGTAAGGATCGCTGAAAGTTATGTGCGTCTCAAAATTGTAAGAGATGATATCAAGATCCCCTCTAAAATGCAGTACCAGTATACATTCGTGGGAAACTTTAAAAAACACAAAGTTTACTTTGTGTGAAAAAAAAAGTTTACTTTTTACTTCCACTCGTGAGGATTTGTGTGGATGGGGTCCAGAGTCTTCATTTCATCTCTTTGGAGATTCTGATACAGGGAGGCTCTGGGATGGAATGGGAATCAGGGGACAGCCCATTGATGCCTCTGCTGCCTTTTCCTCCTGCTCTTTATCTTTCCACAGGACTGTCCCATCTCCTCACCAAGGGGACTGGTTCCCAAGGACAAGCCTCAGGGATGTTGTTTCTTTGTGTCCTTACCCCGGCACAGTGCTTTGTTTGACATTGCCTGTCGAGGACAAGGCTCGGAGGAGTGTTTGTGGCTCATATGACAATTCTGGTGGGTTTTTTGTCTGTTTGTTTTGTTTTTTAGTCCCATGGACCAAACACAAAGAAGAATCCTGGGCCAGCCCCTGCCGATCCCCACCACCCAGCCTAAGAAGAAAAGGACGTCAATGGTGTCTTTCTTTTCCAAGGTCTGTCACCACATGTTACAAACAGAGGTCCTTCCCTACCAGCCACTTTGTAAAGTGTGCTTGCCTGGTCTGCATTAGTTCCGGTGGCTCCTTTCGAAAAAAAACGCTTGGTGACACTTCTTATAACTCAGACAGAATGTTTACAGGAGAACGAGATGAGCTGGGAAGAATTTAGCTTGCTGCACACTTAATAATAACAAAAATATAGAATGAAGTGCAATGAATATTGAGAAATAGTGATGAGACTTGGTAATCAACCAGATACCCAATAGAGCCATGGGTCCAGCCTCTAGCCCCTCACTACTAAGGATAGTGAGGAGGTGGCTTTTTCTTGGATTTTGTCTGGATCGTGCATTGTCCTTGGTTCTGACTCCAGTACATGTGTGTGAAGCCTAGAACACTGGGGCCTTCCTGGAAGCATATGTTCACTACAGAGGTAACCCAATTCTTGCCCTGCAGTTAGAGTTTAGTCCTTGAAGTAGGTTCCTGTGTCAGCTGCACAGTGTTCCCCAATTTGCATTCTTTATACATTTCTTTTCCTAATCTTAATTTTTTTTTCAACATTTTTTATTTATTTTTGGGACAGAGAGAAACAGAGCATGAACGGGGGAGGGGCAGAGAGAGAGGGAGACACAGCATCGGAAACAGGCTCCAGGCTCCGAGCCATCAGCCCAGAGCCTGACGCGGGGCTCGAACTCACGGACCGTGAGATCGTGACCTGGCTGAAGTCGGACGCCTAACCGACTGCGCCACCCAGGCGCCCCTCTTTTCCTAATCTTAATTGCTCAGATGCGTGCATCCTGGGGTGGGACATCCTTCAGGTGCCCTGAAATGTTTGTAGATGTGCTTTGCTAGCTAGGTCAAGTGTTGTTGAGAGGTTGAGGAGGATGAGTGCCGAGAGTTAACCCTTGGATTTAGCCACATTAGTGGGGCCATCAACCTGATCCCAGAAGGTTCAAGAGATAATGGAGAGAGGAATTGGAGAAAACAAGTAGAGACACCTTTTTCAAAACGTTCAGCTACAAAGTAGAGCAGAATAATGGGGAAGAGCTGGAGGGAAAAGAAGGGTCAGGGAAACTCTTTCCTTTGAGTTGGAAGCAGTACAGCATTCCTTGTCCTATGGAGGGTCACTGTTCTCAGCTCACATCAACTGTCTAAAGCCCCCTTTCTTCTGAGCTCTAGCACACCCTCAGTGGTCCTCGGGCACCTGCCATAAGCCCCACCCAACCTACCTCAACACCAGCCCTGCATTATTTTTCTCTACGTATTTCCTCTTCCATCCATTTTCTTCATTATGTAGATCCACTGATGTATTTCCAGCAAAAATCAGGCGCCTTTGGGTGGACAAAGAAGGGCTGAATCGAGCAGGCAACACAGAAATTTTCTTTAGAGGGAGGGCTTGGGGTTGGGATAGGTATGACTCTGAACACTCCCCAGATCAATACATTTTTTACTTACTACCCAGATCTCTTGGACAGTGAGTCTCCAGAAGCAGGAGCCTCCGAAGAACGTGTTTTTCATCTTGGCAGAAAGAGCCCAGGACCCCAATGCTAAAAAGCGTCACATGGCAATGAGAGGCCTGGGAGCAATGGCCTCTGAGACCCCTGACAAGGTAGGAGGGGAAGGTGGCACCCAGCCAGCCTGACGGCCTGAAGTCCCCAGCACTGGCACCTCACGTACTGGTTTTCTACTGCTGGGTGACAGGTCATCGCACACCTGGTGGTCATCATCTTGCAGGTTCCTTGGGTCAGGACTTTAGGCACAGCTTAGCTGGGTCCTCCGCTCAGGATCTCACGAGGCTGCAGTCAAGATGGGCCAGCCTGCATTCCTTTCTGACACCTGTCCCCTTACAGCCTGTGAGCTTACATCTTCAAGGCCGGCAGGAAAGCCTCTAGCACTCATGTCTGCTAAGATGGAATCCCATGTAATGTAATGTGACCGTGGGAATGATATCCCATCACCACTGTCATAGTCCGTAGGCTGGAAACAAGCCACTGGTTTCTTCCGCACTCAAGGGAAGGAGAATGTACAAGGGTGTGACTCATTTGCAGTTATACGACAGTTGTCGCACCTCAGTATTATCAGACTTGGGAAACAGAGCTGCAGGTGGGATTAACACACACCTGGACATCCTCCTCTTGGGTGAATTTGATTTATTTTTGAATAATTACGCTTGTTCGGTAAAAGGTGTTATCCCCACCTCTGCCTTCAGTATCCATCAGCTTCCGTGACCATTCCGTCTCATCTTCTATAAAAGTACCCACTATGCCCCGGATGCCTAGATCATCCAGCCTTCCATACTCCTTGATGTGCCCTCGCTGGCCTCATCTGCTCAGAGGCCAAGCTCCAGATTGCTCTTTCGGTTATTCTTCCAAGACCGAGCTGGCTCTTGGGTCAGGTTGATGGAAGCATTTGTACAGTAATAAGAGTTGTTGTGGCAGTTCCTGAAGAAAGCCATGCTCTTCGTCCAGGTCCTTGCTTATTGGAAGATTAGAAGTGGGATTGCTTTTCAACTCACTGGGAGCAATTCCTCAGTTGCTAGAATATTAATGCTTTTCACACCTTGTTAACAGGTGAAAAAATATAAGAAAATTGTCCTAGACCTGCTGGTGCATGGCCTGTATGACCCTGTGAGTGCTGACGTCATCCACGAGAGCATGAAGACTCTGACCATCATCCTGGGCAAGATCCAGGGGAAAAGTTTGGGCTCCTTCTTCATAGACATCACTCTCCAGGCCAGGACTTTACTAGATGACGTAAGCGAGATGATTCAGAAGATTTCTGGGTTATTGAAGTTGAAGTGGGATTAGAAACATGAGCCCTGGCTGTGTTGCTCAGAGAACATGGTCTCTATTACTAACTTACTAATTAAGAAATCATACTGCGAGCCTAGTATTGTACCGGGGGGTTATGGAAAACATATAAAGAATAGCATTCCATCACTACCCCTTAAGGAGTTTTTGTTTTTATGGAGGAGTGAATATACGTCCAATGAGGATGGAGATGGTGATAGCATTGCCAACGTGCGTTCGGTGCTCTCTGGCAAATGTGACAATAACCATAGTCTGCCTTTAGCAAGCCCTGACTGTGTGCCAGGCGTGGGGCTAGGCAATTTTCGTGGGTTATCTCAGATAATAGCCCTGTGAGGTAGGCACTGTTAATATCTTCACTTTATAAATAAGGAAAGCACAGCACAGAGAGGTTAGGTAACTTGCCCAAGATTGACAGAGCCAGCAAGTGGATGTGAAACCAGGCCCTCTGATCACAGGAACTGTGCTCTTTATGGCCAGGTGACCAGGCAGGTTAAGCAGAAAGTACACTGTTTAGTCTGGATCTGAGATACTGCAGTTACACACGTACACTCTCTCTCTCTCTCTCTCTCTCTCTCTCTCTCTCTCTCTCTGTCTCTCTCTCTCTCTCTCTAACAGAAAGATAATATCTGTAGAACAGGAAACAGAGCTTTTATTTACTCACAGAGCACCTTGCGTGAGCTCCCCACACCTAATTCTCCAGATGAACCTGCACCCTACGAGAGGAAGAAAAATCTTGAAATTACAAAATCTGGAGTTTATATAGGAGCTTCTGGCACATTTGCCTCTCCTCCCACTAAGAGAGACAGAGAGACGGAGAGACCTTTGCTCTGGAATGTGAACCAGTCATCTCTGGGGAAGGGAGAGGAAGGTGTCTACTTTATCTCCCTGGAATGTAAACAGATATCTGCAGGGAGATGTCTCGAAATCTCTCTGGAGGTGTCATCTTAATTTCCAGGACTCATTTGCCGTGCAATCATTTTTTTAATACCTGGTGAGGATGGAGATGATGATAGTTGACTGTAATTTTTTTAAAGTTCACTTATTTATTTTGCGAGAGAGTGAGTGCGCAAGCAGGGGAGGGGCAGAGAGAGAGGGAGAGAGAGAGAACCCCAAGTAGGCTCCACGCTGACAGCACAGAAGCCTGACGCGGGGCTCAAACTCACAAACCGTGAGATCCTGACCTGAGCCGAGATCCAGAATTAGACACTTAACCTTGCTACAAGTCAAGGTACATAACAGTGGCATGGTGTGCTTCCATTTGTGTAAAAGTGTGAGAAAGGACTA